AAACATTCCAAGTGATTCTGTTTCAGGTGGTTCCTAATCACCTAGAAATTCAATCATAAGAGTCAAAACACCTGTTTTAAGACCATCTAATGTGCATACTGAAAATTAGTGGCTGAAGTGTTAATACCTACAGGACCATGTGTAAAAAGATGCGTTCTGTATTTACAACTGGTGTGTATATACATGTGTGTGTGTGTATAATACAATCAATTGCATTGCTTGAATTTGTTTTATAGTTTCTTTATGACTCTTAAGTTCACATGAATTTTTGCGCAGCCTGTAAGTGGGCCTGGCATGAGGAGTGTAGTATTTGTCTCAGTTGTTTACTTATTTAGTAGGCAGGGTGATTAAAAGTGACTAAATAAAAAGTGAATACATTGAAATGAATACTTAAGAAAAGGGGAATCCTGAGGGTGATATTCCACTAAAGTTACTGGAACTTACTAAGTCTGATTACTTAAACAGTTGTAGAAGGATCTGTCTGGTATTTGGCTGAGGTAATTCCTTTAAAATAAGCCATATAGGTCACACAGTACTAATAAAATATGTGGATGAATCCTTGAATATTTTGCCCTGATTTTATCTCCTTTGGGAATGGAGAATTCATTAGCTTGAGTTCCTTGTCAGTCCTCCCTGCCTTGTTCCCCAAGTACTTTCCAGACAGGTTTGGCATAAAGAAAGTGATCAAAATATATGCAGCACAGCCAAGTTTCAAATGAATGGCTCGTCTACCACACTGATTAAACACATGACACTGTGAACTATGAGAAGGCTGCTATGCTTCATTCAGTTTACTTTTCTGGCTGAGACTTTACATTTGGGGGAGTGGGACAGGGTGAGCGTTCTCCGAAATTCTTGGCTTTTCATACTCAACTACAGATACATATTTGCCAATCCAGGGGTGAATTACCAAAAGCTGAAAAGTTAATTAATTGGGAGCAGCAGGGAGAGAGAGTGGGGAGAGAGAGAAAGGCAGACAGACAGAGACACAGAGAGAGACACAGAGACCGAGAAACCTGTTTGCTTTCTGAAACAATAAGTAGTCAAACAAGTTGTTTAGGGTAAAGTCCCTTGAACTAGATAATTAATATTGAATGAGTATTACCTTATATTTATGTACTGCTTTGAAAAGTTCAAAGCGGTTTTTACATTTATGTATCTCCCTTGAATTTCACAACAATGCCATGAAGTAGGTAAAACAGGTGTTATAACCCACCACTGCCACTTAAAAGATGGTTTAAAGTACAGGATGTCCAGAAACTTGTTTGAGTCACATAACCCGATGGTCTCACAATCAGAAACCAACACATCAGGATTTGAAAACTCCAGCCAGTGTTTTCTTGGCAGAAAATGACTCTGCCACTGTTTGATCTACCCAGAGTTCATGCAGAGATTTGTGGCTACAATTTAATTGGAGAATACAAATCAGGCAAGCCTAAAGAGCTCTACAGAACAGAGATTGTGTCTTTTACATCATGACTGCTTTAGCAAAAGGGTCGTAGAGAATGGAGTCAGTTGTTTTCCACAATGCAAATTAAAAACAAACAAAAACACTTTGTAATCAGTTTCAGGGTATTTGGGGGGCAACTCATTCATTAGATCCGCTATTTATTTTTCTAAAGTATTTATTAAATGCCTTTTATCTGTATGAGTCTGCTCCATGCGTTTAACTTATTCTTTGTAGAGTTGTTTTGAACTATATAGATAATTGCCATTTTATTCATTGCTCATTACCACCTAGATGAAAACCTTCCAAGCTGTGAAGAAAAATAAACAGAAACAGATGAAAGACACTAGATAACTAATTTCCTTCAATTCTCTCCCTGTAGAAGACTTCTTTTTTTTTCTTTTAAAATCAAGGTGATAAACTACCCTGCAGGTATACACAACACCAAGTGAGTTTGCTATGGCATCTAACATAGCACATATTTTAACGCCAATGCTTCCCTGAACCTAGGGAGACTGACTGGCTTAGACTGCTGCGAAGTTCCAGAAAGCATCTCTGAAGGCCGGAGATAAGTCTCTACTAGAGTTTCCTCTCCAAAAAGAACTTTTTCTCTCAGTAGGCATGTTTGAGGATGTAGACAAAGGAAAGAGGCTCCAATAAGAGCCTGGAAACAACCCACAGAAGTGGTTGAAGGCCTTGTCATTTGGGTGGAAGATAAATTTGCTAATGGGTGGTGAGGGTTCCCCAGGGGATTTGTTTGTTGTTGTTGTTGTTGTTCAAACAGTCCTCTGGGCAAATTTCTTTCCTTGTGTTTATATATATACTAAAAGTCCTCATTTAATATATTTCTTTAGTTTATACTATGTGCACACAAACTGTCATTGAGGCTATTTTTGTTGTTGATGTGACAGGGCCCACTTAGGCCTTGAAGAGAGTATGTGAAATAATGTCTATGTTCATACACATTATTGTTATTATTACTACTAGTAGTAGTAGTGGTGGTGGCAGCGGTAGTAGTGGTGGTGGTGATAGTAAGGATTGAACTCAGGGTGTCAGGCAGGTGCTCTACCACTTGATCCACCCTGCCAACCTTTTTTTCTCATTGGGTATTTTTTGAAATAGAGTCTTGACTTATCCCCAGCCAACCTAGACTGCAGCCCTCCTACTTGTGCCTCCCCATGTCACTAGGAATGACGGGAATTGCCACTGTACCCAGACATTGGATGTAAGGTAGTCTTCCTCAACTTTTATGCCCAGGCTGGCCTCAGACCATGATCCTCTGATCTCTGCCTCACAAATAGCTAGGATTATAGACTTAAGCCACCCTATCCATAATATGTATTGTTCATTTGCCTTATATGTCTAAGAATAAAGACTCAGCGTTAACCAGCTCTATCCCTGATTTTGTCCTCACTTTGGTTCTCTGGGTTTCTATAGTCTCCACTTGTAAAATTACAGGTTCACAGTAGGTGAGCTGTAAACTTTGTTCCAACTCTACCGTCCAATGAGGCTCCAGCTTTTAAATACTCCAGTTATAGTTAACCTACATCAAAGCACTCCAATCAGCACCTTTAGCACGCCGGTAGGGTTCTGCCTCAGGGAAATTTGTCAGAGTTCAATATAGAACCATAATTCCAAGAAAACTATGTTTATTTGCTTTATAGAATCATTTTTTGATTTGCAAAATAATTTCAGAACTACAAATAACAAACTCCAGATGTGAATTAAAAATAAAGAATTAATACATATTTTCAGGAAAAGGAATTTAGAGTGGGACATATAGACATTAAATAACAAAATATAAATATCTGAATGTCACAAAAATCACAGTATTTTTGTAACGCCAAGGAATCCTGATGTCACAATTCCACTTCACATTTCAAAATATAGGAACTAAGATCAGAATAAGATTAGTTACTTGCTCAAGACCATACATTAATTAAGGAGGCATGTGCAAAGAAAATCAATGACAGAATATTTTCCATATTTTTCTCTGTTCATATTTGGAGACTATACTTTCACAGCTCATAGATGTTCAAAGAACATTATTAAAAATAAAATTTGAGATTATAATGCAGACTTGTATGAGTACATTTTAATACTTTAAATAGTAGATTCACTGTAGTAAACTAAGCCACTTGAATTTCTAAACTTTTCTGACATTTGAAATCACATAATATTTTGCTATTATTTTCTAAGATTATTTTCACATTATGTCTCATGTGGGTTTTCTTTTGTGTTTTTTTTGTTTTTGTTTTTTGGTTGGTTGTGGGGCTTGAACTCTGTTGCTCTGCTCTTCAGCTCAAGGCTAACACTCTACCGCTTGAGCCACAGTGCTACTTCCGGTTTTCTCGTGGTTTATTGGAGATAAGAGTCTCACTGACTTTCCTGTCTGGGCTGGCTTTGAACAGCGATCCTCAGATCTCAGCTTCCTGAGTAGCTAGGATGACAGGCATGAGCACCAGTGCCCGGCGTTGTTTTGTTTTTTTGTTTTTTTTGGAGTCCGGTCGGTCATGGGGCCTGAACTCTGGGCCTGGGCACTGTCCCTCAACTCTTCAGCTCAAGGGTAGTGCTCTACCACTTGAGCCACAGCGCCACTTCCAGCTTTTTTCCCCCCTGCTTATGTGGTGCTGAGGAATCAAACCCAAGGCCTCATGCATGCAAGGCAAGTGCTCCACCACTGAGTCACCTTCCCAGCCCATGGTATTGTTTGCTTTAATATAAACTTTTAGCCAGCTGCTCACACCTGTAATCCTACCTACTCAAGAGGCTGAGATTTGAAGATCATGGTTCAAAACCAGCCCTGGTACCAAAGTCCATGAGACTATTATCTCCAATTAACCACCCAAAATCCAAAAGTGGAGCAATGGCTCAAGTGGTTAAAGTGTTGAGACTGGAGCAGAAATGCTCAGGGACAGTGCCTAGGTCCTGAGTTCAAGCCCCAGGACTGGCACAAAATAATAAATAAAATAAACTTTTTTATTGGCATACATCAACAATGCAAGGGATTTTCAGTCCATAGTGTAACCTGAATCACTTCACCCCTCAATTATATTCCCTTATCTCCTCTTATTCATCTTCCCCCTTTCGGTGATTTTTCTATAAATAAATACTTTTTAGAACATGTTACACATTAAAATATGTCAATCATGCATTCTAATAGTGGCATTAGCCAGATATGCTTACAGGTGTTAGTAGGATTAGAACCCATTGCCCTTATTTGCATATATGAACTTTATTATTCCATTTCATTCTTGCACTAGTTGCTAAGTAGCTTCCCTCTCTATGATCATTTTACTACAGTGATTGGAAATTAAATATTAGCACGAATTGCTAGTCGCCTTCAAGACACATAGCTTTATTTATTTTTTGGCCATTAACCCCCATATCTGAAGGAAGCAGGGCTCTTTAAAACGAGTTGCTTCTAAGCATTTCATTGACTCACACTAATTTCGGTCCCTAGTCCCTCCCCCTTGTCACCCAGTTAATTTTAACCTTGACCTCCCACAGCTCTACTGGCTCTGCTAGGTCTAAAAAAACTCCGTTTCCACCCTTTTTCTGCCTCTGATGAAGCAATAGCGTGGAAAAGAAAAACAAAACCCACTCCTTTAAGAAAGATTCCGCCTCCCCTCTGAAAAGGCAGAGCGCCTAATGGTAATTGTGGAGTCTCTAAGTCATACACTTTACTACTCAGCATTGAGAGAAGCTGCTGCTGCTGCTGCTGCTGTCCCAGCCTGCAGTGAGCTCCGGTGCAGCAGCCACACTGCAGGATCCACACCTACGAGCTGCACAGACACATCCACCACCCTGCAGCCGGGAAGCTCCGGATCGTCGGCGAGTAAGTGATCCTTTACCCATTTTGTTCAGAAACCGTGGGAAAGGGAATAATCGTGGAAAGGCTGTTCATCAGACATGCTTAAAATAATCCCGTCAATTTGCTTTCGCTCGGTTGGTGATGGGGTCTAAATTTGAGACCAGCAAATGCCCTGTCTAGTGGAGATGATGTGTATCTTAGGGTACTTTTTTTTTTTTTTGCTTGCTATTCATAAGAGTTAAGCCTGATGTATGAAAAGCTTTCTTAAAAAACATGTTTTTTTTTTTTTTTTTGCTTTTCAAATGCAAGAAAACATCCAGCCACTCCCAGTCTCTCTCTCACTCAAATACTGCAGATATTTTTAAATGCCAAATAAAATACCGGGCCAAGCATTTTCTAAATGTCGCTTCCTAACCTCCTCCTTCCCCCAAGCCAAGTAGGTCCAGGTCATGATTGTTCAGGAATATTTGGAAATATATGTGGCATGGTTACGTTATTTTTGGACAAATGGGAGATGGTGGTGGACTCGGATTTCCCCAGCCTTAGTCCAGGGGAGAGGGAGAACGAGGCTATCCATGAATCACAATTGGTGCCAAGACACAAAATTCATTTTCCACACTTCCTACGTGGGGAGAGGAAACTACATGTTAATGGGCCCGTTTTTAGGTAAGAGGGGAGGGAGGATGAAGAGGAGGGGGCTCGTGTGAAGCTTCTGCGGGGGAAGGAGTCTGCAGATGAGGACGGAAATGGACTGTCGCCACCGCGCCTTGGAAACGACGGGGAGATAAGGATGGGGAGAGAAGTTTCTGGTGTGTCTCAGGGTGGGGTTGACCCGAGGGGCCGTGAATCACTACAATGGCGCTCCGAGGGGTGTGCTGGCGGGTGCCTTCGCCGGGGCGGAGGACGCGTGTGCAAAGAGCCTGGGGTGGCCGAAGAGCCAGGCGCTGGCTGGGAGGTCTCGCGGCGGGCCGGCGGGCGGGCGGCCCCGGGGGAGGGATCCCCCGCCCCGCGCGTGGCGGCCCGGTGTCACCTGTGGAGGGATCCCCAGACCTGCGGTCCAGTGTGGCAAAGTTTGCCGGGCCTCGGGTTGCACTCCGAAGGCTGCCGGCCGCGCCCGGCCTCCGGATCCCCCGAGGTTACCCCGGGCCCCCGGAGGAGTGCAGACGGGGGGAGGGGGATCCGAGGGAGGCGGGGCTGGCGGCCCCCGACCCGCACCTCGGCCGCGGTGAGGGTACGCGTGGAGGAGGGCGCCCCCACACGCAAGCGCGCGGAGACGCACCGCGAGGCCCGGGCGGGGGGTGAGGAGGTCAGACCTCGGCGCGGGCCTCCTCGCGGCGCTGGCCTCACCCCCCCTCCCGAAAACCCGGCAGCCCGTGTGGGCCGCGGAGGCGCAACCTCGCGGGGGAAGGGAGGGGTCGTCCAGGCTAGGGGAGACGTTTCCGAGGCGCCCCTCCTCCCCTTCGCGGTCGTGTTTCCGTGGGGGTCGTTTTCCCCTGCGGCTGCGGATCGGAGCTGCACAGCGGGAAGGAGACGGAGTAGCGGCGCCAGGCAGCCGCCCCGCAGCAAGCCCTCCCGCCCCGGGAGCACGTAGGCCCCCGCGCTGCGGCCGCTGCAGCCGCGGAGCGCGCAGATCCGGAGAGGGGGTCGCGAGGGGCGGGGCCAGGACACTGGCGGGCCACCCGGGGCGGGGCTAGAGAGCGCGAGGGCCCGCTGGGGGCGGGGCCTGTGGAAGGCGGGGCCACAACGCCCCGGGTTCGTCGGGCGGAGCCAGAGGCACGCAGCCCAGGGGAGGGGGTCGTGGGGGGCGGGGCCCGAGGGTGGGCCAACCCGCTGTGGGCTGGGCCTGTGGAAGGCGGGACCAGAAGGTCTGTAGGGCGGAGCCAGAGGCGCTCAGAGGTCTGAGAGGCAGGGCTGTGTGTGTGTGTGTTTGGGCGGGCGGGGGGGGGGGGGGGGGGGAGGGTCTGCCTGTAGAGGGCGGAGTTAGGGGCGTTTGGGGCGTGGCTTCTGGGGGCGTGGCTTAGGACGCTCTTGGAGGAGCCCGGCCAGTCTCCGCCGGAGCGCGAGCGGCCCGCCGGTAACGGTCGCCCGGGCGAGGGGCGGGGGTGAAAGGAGTGGATTTAAGTTCTATCGCTTTGAAAAAACGGAGAGCAAAAGCTAGAGGCCTCGGCGGCCCGGCGTGGCCGCTTCCTGCCGCCCGGGGCTCGGCGTCGCAGTCCTTCCCTCCTCAGTCCCCCTCCCCTTCCCCGGCCCTGCCCTCCGGAGCGGGGCTCGGCGGCGGACCCGGCGGCCGCTGCAGCCCGGCGGCCGCGGCGCAGGAGGGCGGGGAGCACCAGGCCGGCCGCGCTGCTGCGAGGTAATCCTGCGGGGAGCGGAGGCGCCGGGCCCCTGCCCCGCCGGGCGCGCTCGGGGAGGGGACTCGCCATTGGCTGTCCCCGCGGCCTCAGGTGAACCTCTCTCCCGGGCGGGAGCGGAGCTCCGCGTGGGCTCCGGGGAGCGGACGCGGCGGGGAGGGGTCGCGGGGCGCGGCCTGGGCCCCGCGGGGCGGGCCCGGCCGTCCGGGACGCGCTCTGGCCTGCGCCGGCGGAGGGGCGGGCGGCGGGGGGGGGGGGGGGACTTTAAAACCCGGCGCTGCGGGAGGCTTCGGTGACTCGCAGACTTTAAGCCCGGAGGTGCGCCGCGGGAGGAGGGCGGCTTCCCGCGCTTGGCGGAGGTGGCCGGGCACGATCGTTCCGCGGCTTGGTTTTTGTTCCCCAATTACGACAAATAATAACAAAACTTTTTACGAGGTGAAAGTTTTCAACCCTGTTCTCGTCTGGCCCCCGACCCATTTTTGGAAGCGCGGGCACGCGCACATACACACACACACACACACACCAGACACACACACACCCCATACCCGCCCTCCTCCCGCACGCACACACACACCCCATACCCGCCCTCCTCCCGCACGCACACACCCCATACTCGCCCTCCTCCCGCACGCGCACACACACACACACACTCATACCTGCCCTCCTCCCGCACGCACACACACACACACCCCATACCCGCCCTCCTCCCGCACGCGCGCACACACACACACACACACACTCATACCCGCCCTTCTCCGCCCTGGGTCACGAGCGAGTTGGCCGGGGTCTAGTCGGCCGGTGTTTGGGGCATGAGCCCTGCCTTTGGAGGTAAGCTGTTAAAGGCCACAGACAGGTACAATAAATTGGACCTATATTCAATCGACAAGAATGGCCTCAAGTGAACTTTTTGTTGTTGTTGTCGTTGCAGAGATTTAATGTCAAGGGGGTGCCCGTTTGGAATGGGAGCGTGAGGGAAACCACTAAATATCCTTGGCACTTGTGCTCTCCAGGATGACCTGCTAAGAGTGGGGTGGGATTTAACTCAACCAAGAGGCTTTGAGGATTATGTATGTATAAGGTTGGTGAAGAAACAGATAAGATCCTGGAGCTTGGAATCAGCGACCTAAACATGTGGATGAATTGTTCACATGGAATTATGCAAATTTTATATTTAGCAGTATGAAAATGGTTGCCTTTCTTGGGATGGATTTCATCTCCATCTGCTGGAAACATCCTGTTCTGGGTTATAGAAGTCTCCTAGTGAGAGTTGTTAAAGAGAATAAGAGTAATTTGTCGTTTTAAAATTAAGGCAATTGACTGGTGAATAGATTTGTGTACTTAAGGTAGAAGATTGACTCATTTATAGAATTGTTACTTTTGGAGCGTTTGTAGAAATAGTTTATGTCTAAAACTCCATTACATGTTACTTGATCTGCAGCTAATTTTCTTTTGTTTAAAATGAGATTAACTTTATGGAGGGAGGACCTGGGAAGGTCATTAGTAATGGTAGCTTTTAAAGAAAGAAAGCTATATTTATTTTGAATGTTAAACATAATTTAAGGAATTCTTGAGATTTGGCTCTGAGACATGTAATACGTTGCAGCTTTTTACATGTATGATACAAGGAAATATCTGGTAAACACAACATAAGACATAGAGAATCGAATCACACCTGAAAATATTTATTTTGCATGATAGGATAATATTTTTGAGTGCAAGTTTCTTACTCATTTTCAAAATGAGAAAATTACATTGTACACTTTACTATCTCTAGCCCCCCTCCTTTTCCCCCAGTATATTGTTCTGGGATCTGCTCAGTGATAGATTTGGTCTAATAGAATGGCTGGGGGGGGGGCAGTCTAATAGTATAAGATTAGCAAAAGTCTACCTCCTATAGTAAATCCTAAATAGACACTGGTGTTCAACTTCTGAGTCTAAACTTCCTGATTTTCTTGAAATAGGCCAGTCTGAGATATTTTATCACCTGCCCACAGGTGGTTAGTTTATTAATCCTGTCTCAAAGTAGTTTGTTCACAGTACTGAGCAACATGTGTGAATGTCATACAGCCTTTCTGCTGAGGAAAGAAATCAAGTGAAAACATGGAAACCCAACTCTGAAACATCTGAGTTTGTAGAATGTTGGGCAGTGATCCTGCCAGAGTCTTGGTTTCCCCTAATTGTTACACATAAAGTAATCAGACTGGAACCTAGACTCAGTAAGTTAAGTGCTTTATGTCTTCATCCTCATGAGTGTATAAAATGACATCTTGCGTTGTGTGCATATGTCTGAGTTCTGGGGTTTGAACTCAGGACCTGGTCACTGTCCCTGGGTTTTTGTGATCAAGGCTTGTACTCTACCACTTGAGCCACAGCTCCACTTGTAAAAAGTCTTATAGACTTTCTTACCTCTACTGGCTTCAAACCATGATCCTCAAAATCTCAGCTTCCTGAGTAGCTAGGATTACAGGTATGAGCCACTGGCACCCAGCTAAAATGACATCTTTTGAAGGCAGTTATATCATGCTACCTTGGACTGATGGGACTGTGCAAATATTTGAAACAGCCAGTATTTATTTGTTTTATCCCTCTAGCAGGCACTCTTCTAGGTATTGTACATGATTTAATTTAATCTTCCCAACAGCCTAGTAACTAAACAGAGGCACAGAGAGACTA